ACTAAAACATTTAAAAACACACAATTTAAAAATTACAAAGCTATTTTGAACAATATAATATTGTACCCGTGGAGGAACGGCTCTCATGTCCCTCCAACATAAAGGAAAGATCCTCCGACCTGGCGCGGTGATCAAGCCTTGCGGGTCGCGGCCTAACTGTTGATGTTGGGAATTTGTATATTATGCTAATCGACTTGTGAATTTATCTTATTGCGATACAGGATAGGAGGAGTGTCCTCGATAGATGGCGCTGTAGTATGTTTCTTCGTTTCAGAAAGCCACAATACCTTATCAATACGATACAAAGTATTGGCACATTTATTTTTAGAAATTGGTTTTTAAAAAAATCAAAAAAAAAAATTGTTTTGGGTGGTTCTCACAATTTTCTTTAAAAAACTGCCAAAACAGTACATTTACTATGGATAGATCCATAGATATATAATTTTTATTATGACTGACATCCCAAATATCGCATAAATGGGGTAATTTGGTTGGGTGACTTCATTGCTTTGAATTTTCTTTTTTTTTTTAAACTGTATCGAAAAGAAACCATTAAGCAATATTTGTAAAAGATAAAGGGTAAAGAAAATGGGCTTGAGTTTATCTTAGTTTCACTTCTTTTCGTCACTAAAAAGGTACAAATCTACCATTGATGTTTTATTCGTAATGATAATCCATCGCTACTTTGGGGTTATTTGGAATCTAACGGTAAAAATCAAATAGGTTCTTAATCAGGATAAAGCAATATTTAAGGCGAAGTTATTTCTATCTTGGCATCAGTCGGTTTAGAAGGTTGGTCGGAACAGCGGCTTTGACCGCCCAGAATAGGACACGCCTCTGGCGCCCTCAGAGGATATTGGCGGTTAGAGCCATACGCGGTTACCGCACCGTTTCGACGGAGGCGGCGTGCGCATTAGCCGGTACTCTCCCGTGGGAATTGGCGGCGGAAGTGCTCGCCGAAGTATATCGGCGGACGGCTGAGTTCCGGGCGGATAGTGGCAGTCGGCCTCCGCCCGAAGAGATACGCGAGTAGCGTCAGGCCGCTCGTCGGGCCACGATGGCCCGTTGGTCGCCCCGGCTGGAGGCTCCGCATGCTGGCTTTGCCGCCGTGGTCATCTTCGAGTGGGCAGGGCGGCAGCACGGGACCCTTTCTTTCCGGCTGACGCAGGTCCTTTCCGGGCACACCTGCACTCGGTCGCTAGGAGGGAATTGAGTCCCGCCTGTCAGGCGGGCAGGCGCTAGGAGGGGTCCGGATGTCTTAATAACATCAGTTCCCGGATCCCTCCTATTAAAGGCGCAGAGTGGCACACCGTGTGGTTTTAGTCGGTCCGATTCCGACACACCACCCCGCCGCAAACCCCGGTAGGGTGACGGCCCAAGGGGGTTTCCACACGTAAAAAAAACAAAAGAAGGTTGGTCGGAAGCCATTAGAGAAAATGTTATGGCAGGCAAAAATGAATAAATATTAGACAACAATATCTACGCGTTTTGATCTGATTCATAAAATACTACAAACTAGGTCGATACTTCAGAATAACGTTTTAATCATTTTATTCAATTACAATTTTCCTCTTTGTTTGCTTCTTCAGGTTTCTACTCATTTTACAAAATTAAGCATTACAAAATAAAAATTGAAAGTTATTTAGACATTAAGATCTCACTTGTTAAAAAAAATTCGTCTTTTAATCAGATATTATTATTGAAATAAAAAAAAGTTTAGGCACTTTTGGGCTAATACGGTCAGTGGAAATACGAGGCAATCCCCAAGCACTCAATAATTTTATGTAGTCTAAGAACGCCATCTTTTGAAAAAAGTTGTTGTATTTTTAACTGGCTTTTTTAACTTTAGTGAGTCATTTTCAATTGCTTCTATTATCATCATCAACAGCCTTTAACAGACCACTGCTGAACATAGGCCTCTCCTTAGAAAAGAGGTTTTGACCTACTATACCACGCTGGCCAGACGGGTTGATATAGGGTTTGGTTGCTTCGGAAAGTACCTGCACACGGTCGCTAGGAGGGAACTGAGTCCCGCCTGCCACCACTGCGACTGCAGTGAGGACTCGGCCCAGCACACGCTGGCGGTCTGCCCCGCATGGGCGGCGCAGCGCCGGGCCCTCACTGCAGTCATCGGAGTGGATCTCTCGCTACCGGCCGTAGTACGCTCCATGGCCGGTAGCGACAGTTGTTTTACCGCGGTCGCAACCTTCTGCGAGGTAGTAATCTCGCGGATGGAGGCGGCGGAGATGGCCCGGGAGGACGACCTCCACTCGGACCCGATCCGCCGCCGGCGAACCGGGCGGCGGAGGCCCGGCTATCACAGCCTCATGCCGCCCTGAGTGTGGCCGCGGGTGGACGGGGTGGGTTTCCCCTCCACCCGCATTAGTTGGCCAGCCGCGAGGGGGCGGCGTCCGCGTGTGCCGGACGTCGCCTATAGAGAGGAACAACACTGAGACGGAGCCCGCACCAGGAGCGGGCTGGCGCTAGGAGGGGTCCGGATGTCTTAACAACAGCTGTTCCCGGATCCCTCCTGTTACAGGCGCAGAGTGGCACACCGTGTGGTTTTAGTCGGTCCGAGTCCGACACACCACCCCGCCGCAAACCCCGGAGGGGTGACGGTCCGAGGGGATTTCCACACGTTAAAAAAAAAAAAAAAAAAAAAAAAGGGTTTGTTCCAAGTTTTCCTTCGTATTCCGTATTCTTAGTCTCAATTCCGTCACCACAGAGCATTGTGGTCATTGTAAAAATACATATCGCGAAATACCACAATAGATGGCGATTATGCATTAAGCCTTCTTTTTGTCTAATCTTCTAAAAGACGTCGTCGAAATAAGAAAAGGTGATGGTTTTCCTTTGAAAAAATGTACAGAAAAGGATTTATTTCATTTTCGCAACTAAAATTAAGGGCGATAGCCACTATCAACATCTTCGACTTCTTGAAACTTTAGATGTTTAACTTTTTTAGGGTTGCCAACACAATAAAAATAATGTGCTTGCTACATTGATACATAACGAGAAACGGCTTCAGTTGGAAAGTATTTGATCTAATATTCTGTGCACGTATCAGAGATAATAAAATATGTACGGATGGTTTCGTTTGCTTCTTTAATAATAGATGATATCAAGAACACCTTATGGACTTTATTGCGTTGTATCTATGCTTCGTAATGCTGTGAAAATGTTTTTTTTACACACGACGGCACGAAGACGGTAGGCGCCGAATAATATGCGTTTAGGGTAAGAGATGTTTGTTTTTCAATTCTAGGGTTGCTTCATTCACCAGGGACTTCCTTTCTAGGGTATACCTGGTTCCCCGGCTATTAGTACCCGGCGAAGGCGTGCGGTTTTAGTCGGTTCGAGTCCGACATGCCACCGACAGGTGGTATCCGAGGGGATTTCCGCACGGAAAAAAAAAAAAAAAAAAGGGTTGCTTCATTACCACAATGGATGTTATGTAGTCGCATTTTAATACAAAGCATTGTACAGTTGATTTGTTTGAAAATGCTTTCCTATGTTTATAACATAAACAGATGAAAAGAAAATTGATTGACAAAATCAAGATGCGGCGATCGAAAGCTTGAAAGCGATCGAAATAACATGTAGTTTGTAATTATGATATTAGTACTAAAAACTATGTTTTGACTAATTTAGATTGCTATTAGTTAAAGTTTTTTTTAAATCGGATTAATTGCGATTCTTTTATCGATTGTGAAACGTAGAACAGCATCGCAAAACAGGTACACGAATTTCATGTAAACGAATCTACAGAGTGTAATAAAAGTGTTGTCAAAGCGGAACATGGTCGTATCGCATTGCGGGTGTTTATCGCACATGGAGAGTGTATAAAAAAGATGTTTTATTAAATATTTATGATGCTAACGTTTCACTGTACAACAGTGTAACTTGAACTTGTTTACTCTGTTGTGTTTGTGATTCGTAAATATTTTTTAGAATCAATGTTTGTCTAGAGTTTTCAAGTTTGAGTGATGCCAATAATGATTTTATCAGAATCATTAAAATAGCAGTGACTGCTACTTTTTGCTGTACCTTACACCATACTAATAGAATGATGAAATTATGTTATTTTTTATGGTACAGAGGTCAAAAGAGCAGACCGGTTCCCTTGATAATAAATAGCTACCGCCGCCCTATATGCAACTATAAATAAATAATAAAAAGCCGTGTTATCATTCCTCCCGAGCCACCCCATTTGTGCCGAAGCCTGGCTCTCTGGAATTAGGAGGGAATTACTTTTTAAATTGACGGGAGATGTTTTTGATACAGTATACTAAAAATAGAAACCCTTTTACACAGCCTTTTAATTAATTAACTCGGTAATTGAAAACTATATCTTTTTTATTGTACTACCAACGATACCAGGATATTATAAAAGTGAAGAAGTGGTGTGTTTGCATCCTCATTGTTGAGAGCGCCTAGGTACCCATAAGCTAATTGCAATATAAATGTACTCTTTCTTCTCTGCATCGCAACTGACTGCTTCAATAATTCTCTCGTCGTTTATAAATTTATATATTTTAATGTTTCTTACAAGCGAATGCAAGCGCACTGAACCCACTGAAATATTGGTACTTACATTGAATATTCTCGCAGCGCTTTTAAGTAACTTTGAAGTAATATTAAATTTATTGTCGTTCCGTGTAAAGGAACTGAATTACCTTATTTGACAACGGAATAAAGTAGTGAAGTATTCTTTCCTTTTTTTCTCTCTAGAATACATTAAACTAAATTATATGTTACTACTACATAACTTTAAACTACTTTCGTTCATATATTATATTAAACTAAATTAAACTAAATAAAAATCTAATTTGTTTGTGTCTTGCGTTATAGATTAAGTCGAGTGTGGATTGTAATTTATAAATAATTTTCGTAATATTATATTTTTTCAAGGTGTTTTTTGGGCAACAGGATTAAGTAAATAATTGAAGCAATTTTAAGTTTTTTTACAACAATATTACATATTTTTCTTTTGTCCTCAGATGGCAGAAACTCGAACCCGTATACAACAAAACGACCTACTTCTCCACGAAGCAGTTATTAAGAATGAACCCGCTGCTGTTCGCGAAGCACTTGAACGACCCACAGATGTTAACTGTAGGAACAATGTAAGTTTAATTCTGATTCTCGTTTCAAGTACACGTACCAGAAAGCTCGAAACTCTCTAATGTATTTATGTTGCCCTGGTTACTCAAACGCTACGAAAACTCTGAAACGAAAACTCAAACCGCTTTGATGAGTTAGATGTCGCACACAGCGCAAAATTACTATACAAACAAATGAAGTTGCCTCAGGATTTTGTAATTTTATTTCATAATGCCTATTAATTTGTTAATCTCTTCTATAGTCATGACTCCCTAGTAACACTAAGTAAAGTAAGTAAACCACGAGAAGTATATAGTTATTCTTGTTTTTGTGTTTACATATTCATAGAACATTTCCATCATATTTATTCGCTAAAATAAAATATATCAGTATAGTACCTAAAACCATGTATTCTCTAGGGGAAATTCGAGGATACAACACCCAAACTTCACATGATATGACTTTCTTCGACCTCTCAGGACATTATATATAGCTCGACATTTGCTTTGACACTCTGCTCTATTGTGATTGAGATTTTGCGACTTACACCATATGATTTATTGTTGTTTGTTACTTATTAATTTTACTTACTTTTGCTTTTATGGAGATTTTGTTGGGTATATAAAAGGAACTACCTATATCTCAATATTTTTACTAGAACACAACAATCAGTTCATTTGGTTTCTTTTATTGAGAATTTTCAAGAACAATCTGTCATGTCTTTATTTTTACAGTACGGACGAGCACCGATTCACTGGGCTGCCAGTAGAGGAAATGTTGAAATAATCAACTTACTCATTGAAGCCAAATGCGACATAGAAGCGGCTGATAAGGTAATCATTTGATTAAAAATAAATTTATTTATTTAACTGCTCAAAATAATTGTTAATGACGGTAATGACATCGAATTCAAACAAAAGTACTTTTGAGGGTTTTGTTCGTATGGTAACATTTAAAACATATTATTATTCAGTTTACTTTATTAAATGTAATTATTTTAATTCATTAACTTAATATGGTTACTGCTCTCAATATTTATAAGTTTTTTAATTTCGAGAGGTTTTCCTCGCGCAATGTCACGTGTTTCCCTTTGTTTCGTCTACCAGGATATCATAATAAGCAAGGAGTAAACTAAATCGTGTTTTCAGTTTGGCATGCGGCCGCTGTTAATGGCGGGATGGCACGGACACCTAGAGGCTGTGAAAACACTCGTTCGGGCGGGGGCCTGTTTAGCTGCCACTAATAAAGTGAGTTATCGTTACATTTTTTTTTAACTTCATTACAATTATTTTTTTAAAGTGAAAACTTCTTTATTGGAATGCGCGTATGGCATTTTTGAACAACAAACAAAATAATGTATTTTTTGAGATAGGAAAAAAGACTTTGAACTCGCGACACTGTTACCGTTACCGACACCTCTCTATATAAATATCCACATATATGGGCCCCGTTTACACGAGAGTTGAGTTGGGGTTGAAATATGTACATTGATAATATAACTAAATATAATATAAACATATATTGTGTATATTCGTACAACATAGAAATATATTCATGTCGGAACCTTTAGAATCGAAAAAAATTAACAAAAAAAAAGCCAGTTATAATAACAAAAAAGTGGTTTAAGCGGTCGCCACGCCGTTCCTACTACGTTGAGTGGTGTAGGTTCCAGCCCTATATGGGACGATACTTTGAGTGATCCACAAATTGTCGTTCTGAGTCTGCGTGTTCTTTGTGTCCGTTTCATGTATATTTGTAAAGTCCCCCGCGAGGCAGGATTTATCACTAGTGCGGTATTTGTCTTTAAAAAAAATCCTATAAGGACAAGGCCATACTGCAGTGTACTTTTATTAAATTTTTACACACAAAATTCCTTGCACTGACTGACTAATTCATCGACGCAAACCCTAAACCGTTGAGGCTAAAAATTTAAAATTTTGGCAGCTAAAGCTTTTATGTTGTAAGAACCCACTAAAAAAGATTTTTGGCAAAATCACCCACTAGGCCTTAGTGGGTGATTTTGCCAAAAATCTTTTTTTGTCCCCTACTCCTACCCCCTGACTAGGGAGTAGGAAAGAACGGATGTAAGGAATTTCGTCTTTTCCATGATATTAGCATGAAATAACAAATAATAACCCGAGTGAATAGTTATATTTGTGTACACTGTTAACGTGTCTAATAAATACCTAACTAAATGACAATACAGGATATGTATAATTTTATGGATGACGTTGTTTTACTAAGTTCATGAATAAAATCTCTTTGTTTCACTTTTCAATACGAGTCTCAAATTTCTTAACTACAGATATAGACTACAATAATGATATGCAATACTGAGCTTTATTCTTACATTGTTAATGTTATAATATTGAGGTTTTTTAAAACAACCCGACACACAAAAACTAAGGCTAAACAATTCCTCACTAGGAGTTTTTCAGAATTTAAGAAAATATTTCGCATGTAATTCGAAATTATTTCTTCAAAGGTTTATAAAATTCCAAACAGTGAAATCAATGTTTATTTTTCTAACTCAAATTTTAGACAAAACTTTTCGTTTGGAAGAATTATACAGAATTTTCCTTAAGAAATACTTGGAAGCTTTTACTCGTATATTAAATTCCAGAATCCATATTAAAAGGTACCCAATTTTATAAACAATTCCCTTTTCTGAACTCGATACTATCTCCATTAACTGAGTAAATAAAATTGAAATGGGTACACAGCAATACATTTTTGCATAATTTTTAAGGACAAAAAGCTCAGCAAGTTTGTGAACATGCGAAAAAATAAAAACGATATAGTATCGATACTTGTTTTAAATGTTATTCTTATCATCCGCCCAATCTTGCCCAAATTTCATTCTATTAACAACGCCCTGGTACATATGATATACCACGGCCTCACAGACAGTGTAAAACAATTCTTTTCACTGAGTGAGAGGGGTTACTGGATGCTCAACATCCCCCCCGCCTTCTGAAAGCCTGAAAATTTTGGCTTCTAGCTTTATCCACCGTTAATTTACAGAAGTGTTGAAAACGTCTTCAATAGTATGTTTGTAACTTTCACTTGACTTGGCGGGGCACTACCGTGGCCCAGACATTTAAATACTTTTAAAGGTATTGTTTAAGAAAGCATTATTCAGCCTTTTATATTTCAACAACTCAGAAATATTCACCTACAAAATGGTTGTCCGTGCCTTGCCATGCCCCTGAATAGTTAAATATTTATATACTCCTGTATATATCTGTTAGAAATTCGCCTGCGGGGACGAAACAATGTTTAACCCAATTAAAAGTTACCAGACCAGCAGGTTAAACAGAAATCATTAGTACTCAGTACTGAGTACGGAGTATTGCGTTTTATAATTAACCTAAAACCATCAAATCGCCTAGAGAAATAACATAGATATAATAATACCATGAAGAGAAAATGAACCGAATATTCTGTCCAAAAAGGTTAAAATTCATACTAATCCATAATATCTATACTAATATAATAAAGGCTAAAGTGTGTTGGTCTGTCTGTATTTTTGTCTATCTGTATGTTACCTCTTCACGCTCAAACCGCTGAACCGATTCAGATTAAATTTGGTACAGAGTTTTTCCGAGTTCCGGGAAAGGACATAGAATAATTTTATCCCAAATAAAATCATTTAAGGAGGGGGGGGAGGAAGGGCTAGGGGAGTTTGTATGGGGAAACAATAATCGCTGATTTAGATGAAATTTGGTATATGGCTACTTTTTACCGCGATAATCGATTTTAGCGGCGGGGAGCCGAGGGCAAAAACTAGTCTTTAAGTAAATATGATTGTCCAAGTACTTTTTTTGGTATAGGGGCCAAATGACCAAACAGGCTACCTGAATGTCGGTGACTACCGGAGCTCATGCATAGTATTAGTTTATTTTTTGAGTATATAATGTGTTTTAACTGCTCACTCAAATGTTCTGCTGTCACGCTTCGGGTCGTCGATCTTGACTACTAACGGGTAAGATGACGGGTTAACACGATGAACGCCGATGAACACCGACTCAATGGACAGGCCGACTCAAAACTATGGTCATCAACAGCCATTAATAGTTCATTGCTGGACTTAGGCCTCTCTTTAGAAAGGAGGTTTTGGCCTACTATACCACGCTTGCCAGACGGTTGGTATAGGGTTTGGGTCAAGTTTTCCTTCTCTAGTAAGTGCTGTTATCCTAGTTTGCTCTCTTACGACACCCGCGTGATAAATAGGGGTGGTGACAGTCCGTATTCTTAATTAATTAAAACTATGGTCCTGACTTCAAATGACCCACTCAGACCCTACACTGTACTCGAACAGTTTTCTTAAACAATGTTTACGAACTTAAAAAAAAGACACCTCTGTAGTTTGTTTCGGCGTTTCTTCCCAGAGTGAGTCTTAGGAAATGCCGGCTCCATCTAGCTGTAAAGTTCGACTTGTAAAAATATCTGAAAAGATTTGCAGAAATAAATATCATTTATCATGGACGCCTGCGATTCAAGCGACATAACTACATTGCCGCCCGTTATCTCTCTGGGTATCCAATAAAAGGTTACTGGATTACCAGGGAGGTTACGGGCGCCAATGAAACTCCTGTTATAACTCAAGGGTGAGAGGCAACGAAAAGACAGCCTTAAACCGGTTATCTGTGAGGCAGTGATGTCACTCATGTGGGCTCTCTGATGAAGAAAAAATATTTTTTATGAGTCCTTAACTTTTGAAGCCTTTGTAGTCATTGTTCACTTTTTAACGTTACTTACTTTTAATTTTACGTAAATACTTTATGTTTACTATTGTCGTAATTTTTTTCACATAATCCATCACTATTTAGATGACAGAGAGGAGACAAGTGTCTCTTACATAAGCACTTTAAATGTAAATACCTAGCAAAAAGATCCCTGAAAGAAAACTATTTTACACACTAAAACTCCTCTAAAAAACCTTGGCAAGGGTCCTTTACTTTTTATATACGACTTTGTCGGCGTGATAAATATTTAAATTACGGCTTTCTAAGAGCCTTTGAGCAGCGTCACGATTACATAGATGGACATAGCAAAATTATAAAGGTTACCTATTAATAACAAAGCCCTAATTATATCTATTTTTTCTTCTGAATGATCATAAATCTCACACTAATTTCGTCACTATCACCCTCGAGTTGACTAGTCTGCTCATTTGCCCCTTCTTGTGATTTTTTCCTGAGCAGAAATCCGCTCGGATACCACCCACCAGTGGTTACGCCGGACACGCCGTCTCGGGTACCAGTAGCCAGGGACAACATGTCCAGGACCCTAGGAAGGAAATCCCTGGTATCCCCATCGGTACCAACGGGCCATCTACGGTTCCTTACAGAAGGAGATGGCGGAGTTTCACGAACTCTCACTCCGTACCATATTAAGCAAAAGAATTCCGACTCCGATGACTGCCTCGAGCAGCGTTGGGATTACTGATCTTCGATTTCTCGAGTCTCAGGACTCCGACCTAACTCCCGCTCCTCCTTGCGCCACTGATATAGAGCCGTAAGGGCTCTCGCCTCCAGGTCCTAAAAGAGATCGGTACCCCCTTATGGCCCTGATAGCCAATACTCGCTGCGGTCATCGCATTAGAGAGACATCATCATCCTGAGACCCCTTAAAAACACAAAACAACCCTCGAGTAGAGTCTCTCATGTTAGGCGGCAGCCGCGCATTTTATATAAAATTCACTGCCACATAAATACTACAATTCGTGACTATTTTGCAGTAAACATAAAAAAAGAGTTTTCTCTTAGCATTCCTAAAGAGCTTAAAAATTAACTTACATAAAATTTATAGTATTACAATTCTCAATCCCAGGTCTCGATTTTAATTAAGCACTAAAATACAAAATTATTTTCTTAATCCAAAGACAAATTCAAAATCCTTCAATTGAAATTAAAACTATTCCAATTACAGTTATACTAATCTCACTGTGAATTATGAAGTATATATCTTAAATTCTTTCTAGGTACTGGTATCTAAATGTAACTTCCGTGCATCTTGTTTAATTTTTGTATAATAAAAAGTATTCTGAAGTCCAGTGCTGTTTTTAATTGAAAAGAGTCACCTGACTTCAAAACAATGAAAACGAACCGCGATTGTTATTATGTATTTTTTGTCAACTGAAACCTAGCTACTAGGCTCACATAAACCGAAACATGTTTGTCAACAGAAACACAACGACCTACTTCAGTGCGCGTGTTCTCGAGGCGCAATTGACGTAGCCAACTATGCCATTTCGTTGGGAGCTAAAGTACAAGACACAGATGCAGCAGGAGATGCACCCCTTGCTTTGGCATCAAGAGCTGGACACACAGCCTTGGTAGAGATGCTGCTGAATAAGGGTGCTTACATAGACGCTGTGAATAAGGTAAGTACTGACTAAATGATTTTTCAATCTCTTACCCTTTATGTATTCCTGGTATTATTACCTGTCATTATTATTGACTTCTTAAAATAATGCTTATTAAAAATACTTTATTGTTTTTAATATATTGATCCTTTGTTTTAATTAATTTTAAATCTCTCATACCTGTCAGGACATTTAGTTCATTAGCAAAAACATTTAAATACTATTGAATGAATTAGTTTAATATAAAAGGTTGAAAATATCTTAAAACTCAGGAATGATTACAAATAATGAGTAAGCACCAATTCAGACAATGTGTTTGTCAACAATGACAAATGGATGTTAAAACTCGTGTGAATTATAAAAATGATGAACAAACAATTGTTTTACTTTCAGAGTAAAACCGTGATGTAACAAGGAAATCGTTACAAATAAATCCAGTTAACATAAACAATACACTTTGTGTCACTAATAACAATAATTTCTACTAGGAAATATTGAGTAGGTGGTATCCTGCTGTTTCAACAGTCGAAATCTACGAGTTTCAAATTAAACGGCAAACAAAACCCAAACCATTACTTAGGAACGCTAATTAACACGAGTGATAGACATTACATTTCTATATTTGTGTGTTTAAGCCCCTCGAGATGACACCTCACCGGTAACAAATGGTATGGTCGAACTGATTCAAACCACAGAGTGTGTTCCATTATCAGATCAATCCGGTACACTTGACCACCTGTCGAGTAAGGCGACCCGACTGTCATTTGCAAGATAATAAGCTTGGTATTGCATTATGTCTCGACCAGTTGCGGCCCTGGTCACAGGTGGTCAAATTATCCTGTTAATCCGTAATTATACGAGGGTGAATAATCTCTCGCATTTCATGTTTATCAGCGGTTTGGTTACCATAACACAGGCTCTGCCTAATTTGGGATCAGATGGCCGTGTGTAAGATGTGTAAGTTTATTATTATAATGAATCACGAAAGTTTATAAGTTAGTAGTACCAAAATCTATTATATTTAAAACTATAACAATAAGTATATACACGAACTAATACTGAATTGATTGATCATCAAAATATTGATTATATCAAACACATTGTTCTGTATTCACAATAGTATTCAAATCAATTGTTCAGTAATACATAGAACAATTTAGTTACCAAACTTTGTAATGGTATGTAGCTTTTATGGTTCAAAAAAGCCTATACATATTTCTAATTGTATTACAACATATTAAATAACAAAATTATACCAGCTATGTACATTCTTAATGTTTGATTGACCTCTGAAATAAATTGCTTTAACGATTTAAATTCATGGCTAGTTTAAAAAGTATTACAGTAAATTTTGTTCTTAATTGGATATTTTATAAATCGCATAAATAGTTCAAATTTCTTAAACAGTAACACGCTTTTTCTGAAGCTGAAATAAAACACAGCGATTGGATAACGTGTTTAAATGTAGTATGTAATGTGTGACCTCACATTTGACACGCAAAACTTGTGAAGAAACATTCACCCGAAGAACAAACCTAACCCTTTTCGGCGATCGATTAAAACGAAGTAAATTTCGAAGTAAATTTCGGCATTGACGCAGTATATAAACACGTGGCCAAAGCAATCAGAGTATTTAAGCTAACACTCGATTCTGTCTCTTATGTGACGATGAGTGAGAAACCCCTACAACCCTCTACTCCCTACTAGATATTCATATAAATATAAAGATAACGACCTTTCATCAAGGAAAGCCAATCATTATAATACGCTTATTCACTGGTTAATTATTTATTCTAAGTGTTACACTGTCCCAAATAGACAGCGCATTATAAGTACCGACGTACCGGGAATTTCATTACTGTCAAAGTATTCCTAAAGGTAATTATGATAATTTTACCAAACTGTCACGCAAAATTAGAAACACTAAGTTACCAAAAATATAAAGTGTTTTTTCTTCATTTTCAATAACTAATAAGATAAATTTTCCTTAGTCCGTATTGGCAATGTAATAAGGATTAAATTATTAGCCCATTAACGATTCCCGTTTGGGATATATATTCACATAATGGAAGTGCCGTGGCTGTAACCGGTATTTCGACTATCCGTTATCCATTTAGGAGTGCAAATTGGAGTCTACAGGAAAGTAAATATGTGAACTCAATTTTGGCCTTAGCACATTTTGCTTGTACTAAGTAGAGACTATTATTAAAAATAATAACACTGTACTATGGTAGCCACACTGCTGATAAACATAATTATATGTATATTTCAAAACATATACATAGACACAGAACATAATTATATTACATTATTTCTCCTGAATGGGAATCGAACCAGCGAATTCTCGCTCAACAGTCAGAATCATTAACCAATATACTAAGAGGTCCGTTAAATTTGATAAAATTGAATTTTGAAAAGAAATTACTTCATCTGTCGAAAATAGTAGAAATAAGAATTCACTCCACTCACTTGAACTCGGCCTATTTCTTTGTAATCTTTTCTAGGATAAGCTTTCTGAAGTATCTAAGCAATGTAATTAAACTAAGGTATGCAGCGAATGGATTTCGCATATCATTCTTCAAAAATTCCAAGTAATATTCCATACCATTTATCAACCTTTAAAACGAACATAGGATCCAGTTCCCCTCTACACCGATTATGCAAAGAATTTAATACCAGAATCATAATATCATATCGGCCATATTATTCTCTAACATGTTTTTTGTATATCAATTTGTAATGCATTTGCTGTCGATAAGCCTAAATAAATAAAGATATTTCTTTACACGTTCTGTTCTTCAAACGAGTTCAGATGTTGAAGTTTAATATGTAAATCAAATATGAGAAATTATGTATGTAGTATCTCGTTGACATTTTCTGGATAGGTACCCAACGTTTAATATGAACCCTTTTAGGTTAATTAGGAGGGACGTCACCCTGCCCTAGTGGCATCTCCGATCATAAGACATACGACGAAGGGCAACTAAGTAGATGAGTCGCCTGGGCCTTAATTCTGCTATTATACGTTAACGTACAAGACACTGTCATTCCAGTGACACTCTATTGAAATGCCATCAACATCAGTTAAAATATCGGTATTCTACTAACATTATAATCACATTGTCTTTATAGTGCAATGGAATGCCACTAATCACTATGGGAGTTCAATGGTAGGTTAATAATAAATAGTTATCCTGAAGCCATGGTGACGTCATTGAAACAACTGTCACATATTTAGTAGAATACAAACTATTACAAAGATATCGACAACAATTTTATCAGTGGCAGTTCAGTGACAAGTCATCGGGAGAGCCTTAGATTGGTCTTACATAGTTAATAAAGTAAACTATTCCGGCGGTAGTCCATCGACTATCTATTGATACAATATTAAAATAGCAGAATCGGTGCCCTGGTGGTAAGCCCGAGACTGCAACTCCAGAGTCACGGGTGCGTTTCTGACTCCGGCAGCCACACTCACTCGGTGAAAAGTAACAAAGGAATTGCTTAACACTGCTTTCAGTTAGGCTGGTGTACTCGTATCACTCCGGTAGTAGTGGTAGCCCATTTATACCGAAGCACAGCTCTCAAGAACGTGGCTGTTAGATGACAGGTGAGATTTCAGATGTTAGATATCATCATCATCGACAGCCTCTACTAGTCCACTGCTGGACATAGGCTTCTCCTTAGAAAGGAGGTTTATGCCTACTATACCACGCTAGTCGGACGGGTTGGCATAGAGTATGTTTCAAGTTTTTCTTCTCTTTGCAGTGCTGTTGTCATGCGTAATTTGCTCACTTAGTCGGCTCTCACGACACCCCCGGGGGAATAGGGGGGTGACACTCCGTGTTCTTAATCCGTCACCACACGGAATGATATCAAAGCGAGTACTACACTCGATTTTGAATTTATAATATCTAACTTAAGCTATTCGTAAACTAGTATTTATGGATTCCATTACCGGTTTATCATAAGGCGAACCGCGTTTACTTACGTTTAAACTTTAACAAACTACACTACACTACCGAAACCTACACTTAAAAAGCATTTAGCAGTTGGGGAACATAAAACACCTATATAATGAATGACCCAAAATTACCTACTAGGAGAGCATAAACTAAAATGAATACTTACAATATCAATAAAAGAGTGTATAGGAAATGTAGGTCTGTATCACTTTAATGTTGATAATTTAAAAAGAGACCAATACTAACAAAGTGAAATAATAATTTCAATAAGTTGAAATAATAAAAATATTGAAAAGTAAAAACTACTGTAATTTAAAACAAGTAATAATCATTAAGTTCTGCTTTCCTAGTATCTGAACTTTTTGACACTTCGATTTATTACCCCCATTTATTAAGTTTCTCAAACAACAGACATCAGCTGTCCCAAAAAAAAAATTGATTTAAAAGTAAACTCATAATCATCACCGCCATTTCCCAAATTCGTTTGGGGTCAGCGCAATGAGTTACCAGCTTAATCTCTTGCTTCTCAACTTTTCATCAACTGGTGCTACTTTCAGGCTTCCTCTAATGACATCATTCCCCACCTTGTCCATTCTAGTTACACTACACATCTATCTTAAAGTTCGCATTTCATCTTCAAGCAGGCGTCTCTCATCCGTTTTCTTTGTGGGCCAACACTAAAAAGTACCGAATTTGTTAATGTTCTTTAAACAATTAGAAAATTGAAGTGATATTTTAAATTTGAAATATGTTTATGTAGCATTTTTTTATCGTTTCCTAACCTAATCATGATTCGCATGTATACATACAATTAATCTCTCACGTTTTGAACGATAAAAAAAAAGTTAAAAAGGTAGAAGGGTATGCCAATTAATTAATTTAACAAGCAAGTACAACAAGTGCACTTTTTGAACTATAATGCCTGAAATATTTAAAAACAATGGTTTTAAAGATTTCAGGCATTATTGTGTATCTTCAGATTTGCAATTGATTTTCTACAACTTTAAATCAAATGATCAATAACCTGTAACAACTTCCCAATAATCACTTTAT